CTTTAGATTGAATCACCAATTGTAAGTTAAAGATAAATAAAGGATATAAAATACTTCACAATATATATCCATTTAAATATTCAAATAAGAATATCAAATAATTTTAAAACATTTTATCAATATTTGTCATAAACAATTCTCTTTTATATATATATTTATAGAGAGAGAGAAAGAGAGCTAAAAGTTGTAATATTTTTGCAAAACTACATATTCGAAGATTATTTCGACATGTCTACATCTACTTGCCTGAAATATTCAAGCGTAAATATCATCAACGGTATGAGATTTCACGAAAACTTTCAGTCTCGTGAAGGCTGCACAAAGGGTGTATCCGAGCCAAAAAGAAAATGGGAGACGAGAACCCGTCCTTGATAGAATAGACTAAGCTCCTTTAGCGTACGCAATAAGATGAGGTATACAGCGCAACGCTCCGGATGTGCTGAGAATGTGAGACGCATGAAAAGGAACGCGTTTGAATCGAAGTACGCACAAAGAGGGAGAAAAAGAGTAGCGATCCACTCAGGTTGAAATTAAATGGGCGGAACTGAAAGTGATGCACGCGCGTCGCACGGTATACGCTGCGATCCTGGATGCAAAAAGCTTTCCTTCTCTCGAGGTTTCTGCGTGACGAGAAACGGTCGAGACCGACCTTTAGCAGTGTTAAATCAATCATTCTTTAAACTTTCCCTTCTATATGTGACGCAGTTACCACTAGGATTTTTCTGCGAATGCATTTTTATCCCGTGCAATTATCTCTTTCATGTAATTATTACGCGCGCGTTTTTAGATTAAAAAAAAAGAGATCTGTTGAAGAGAAAGAAAAGAAGACTCGGAAAGTTCTTGGTAGAAAATCTAAAATTTCTGAAGTGTAGCAAAACTGTTTTTGAAATCAAGTGAATGACGTCTTTCGGGAAAAAAATTAACAAATCTCGTAATAAAAAAACATTATCATTGAAAAGACTGTATGAACGCATGCTGCGTAAAATGCGTGAAGGTCGATGTCAGTAATCTCATAACGACAACTTTATTTCCTTAACGTAATCAGTCTTCTCACCCGCGAACGCCAACGCATTTTGCGAAATCTGGAATATCATCAACAGCAGAATTGCGTTCCCCGCTGCAGTCAAGTGTGCATATTCAATTAGCAGAGTTCTAACGTTCTAATTCTATTTTACGTCGGTGATGTATTATCGAGATGTGACATACACAGATAAATACATACTGCACGTAAATAATAATTATTTATTTTAAATATTGTAAAAGTTCATAAATCTAGTATAAGTTCATCACAAGCACAGTCAAAATATATTTAGACTCCTCTCTAATGAGTTTAACATTTCAATCAAGACTATCAAATTAAAACAAATTCAATTTGCTTATTAAGTATATAAAGTCGCTTCCTCAATTAATTTTTTAATCTTCAAAATAAAATAAATTTTTGTCTTGAGTGTATAATAATCATTTTTTTCTCTAAAATTTATAATACGTAGTATATTATTTTTTTCTCTAAAATTTATAATACGTAATATATTTAAAGATTATTATCAAGAAAATATTCTTCGTTGAAAATAACTACTACTTAAAAGGATGTATGTGCAGTTAACAATATTTCACTTATTTAACGACTTGCAAAATACGAAAAGAAGACAATAAAAAAACCAGATAATTGTCATTTTGCTTTATACGTCGTTCATATTTTAGCATGTTAAATGACATATGGAATAAAGAATCTCAGCAAAACAAGCTGTTGACTTACATTGTATAAGCTTTAGACACTTCTTGGGTTTCGCAAATCGACGAAGCTTAAAAATTGTAGCAAGCTATGAGTAACATTATAACGGAATGTTTCGCACAAGGGGGTACGCAAAAACGACCTTCGGCTCTAATAAGATTTTATTGCGTGCTACGCCACGAAAGAAATTGCAACTGGGCAATCAGTCGAGTTCCAAGCTTTGCGACCCGAATAAGTCGTCGTGTAAAAACGAATGGAAAAACCATCTTGAAACTAAAGTAAGAACTCGGTACGAATAAACGTACATACGTATGTGAGAAGATTGATGGAAACAAGAACTAATCAAATCAAAACTACATTTTTTCACCTCGCTGATATATGATGATATGTTCATTCGTTACTGAAATCTCCTTATATTATTAAAATTTACATTCATTTTATAAAAATGAAATCTGTCACCAATATATATGTATATTTATACAGTGTTTCTTAAATAATGTCCACTAATCATATAGTGTAATTTCTGATTAAAAAACTGAATGGAAAAGTCCTGTATCATTTTGCAATTTTCACAATATTTTTTTTTAGTTACCCAAAGCCTAATGAACCGAAATGTCTGACAGCGAAACATAAGACAAACTTTAAGATATCTTTAAGAGTTCTTTAAGAAACATCTTCAAAATATTTCACAAAAAGCACTGAAAAATATTTTAAAATTATCTTATGCATTAATTTTAATAATTTAAATAAGTATATACATCTTGCACTTATTACTTTTCAAAAAAGTAATAATAACTTTATTGAAGTGTAAAAAAATATAGATTACCAATGTCTGAAATGGAAGATGTACACGAGAAATGTAGCGTTAAATGAAATTCTAAAGGTGTGGCAGCAGGCAATATTGCTGTTCGTGAGCTCAATCTTGATATATAAAATAGATATAACATAAATATAAAAAAGAGAAAACATAAGATGAACCAGAAATTGAGAAACAAATAAAAACACAAATAAAACAGGTATATATAAAAAGCCGATATAAACAGATAAGTACAAAATAAACAAGAAATTGAGTAATATATAAATGCAGTATAACTAGTAATGCGCGATATGTCCAATAAAATTCTTTTAAAAAGAAATACGAAGCGATATTCTATTTATAGTTTGCATATAGAAAGAACAATTTTACCAAAGTATTTAAAATTTAGCTAGATACTGCAGACCTACATGAAATAATTTTGGACCATTAAAATAATTACGTAAGAAACTCAAGCATGATGATTATGATGAGCAATGCTACAAAAAGTTTGAACATTCGAGCAACCAGTTTGAGCGTACTACATGATGATTTTAATGATCCAACAAAATTATTTTCAGATCTGTATCTAGCTAAATTTTTAAATATTTCAACATTTAACTTCCGTTTACTGTACAAAACATTAGGTTGCTTCGTGCCGTCTCTAGTCGAAGAGACTGTAGTCTTGCAATTTTTATTATCGTTGCATCGTCAAGTTTCTATCTGCAACAGTAACTGTCACATACAAGTGTTGCAGTAACAATTCTCTCAGAAGTTCGTGTTTTCCGTCAAGATGCGACTAGCGGGAGCTCTAAATTTCCGGAGCTTCCTGAATTTTGGACGCCACGCTGCTTCCAAGACGTGAAAAATTTAAGCTTCTAAATTCACAACGTTCATTGATCGTAAAATATAGCCTATATACGCACTCAATATTTACAACCGTTAAAAGTTATTCGACAGTGATATAATATCTTGATATTTCCAAATTTTATCTCGTCTATCTCTCAAAGTCAACCAATCGATAACTCCTGTTACTTTCGATTCTTATCGCCTCTCACGGTTCTTCCCAAGTCTAAGGCTCGAAAGTAACAGGATTATTTCCCTTGCTAAAGATTTCTCATCGGGCGATTCGATGCGATTTTTCGATCTCTCGGCGGTCGAATGCGGAAACTTGTAGCATTCGCGATGCGCGCGATCGACCCACGCAATAATCTGATAGAGCCGTATTAGCCTGAATTCCGACAATCCAGTTAGCTACCCCTACTCCTCGCCCTGCCTGATCCAGCCTCGTCCTGAATTTGAAGCAATTGGCACGAACTGGCACGTTCGCGACGATAAAATAACATATGCCGATAAATTTCCTAAGGCGAAGTCGTAAAATAATAAAGTGCCTATAAATTCGTTATTAAGATAACATCAGCTAAATGAGTTATTAAATAGTTAATATAATTGACATGCCACTTTTATGTTATTAGAAAATTTACGGAGATTTTAGTAAATTTTAAAGATAAAGTTAAAATAATCATTTTAAAAAAAGTAAAGTTGAGTAAGACGAACGGCAGTCAATTATTTTCTAACAACACACGTTCTAACATTGATTGTTGTAGATATGTGTAATTTAACCTGGCGATGCGTAATTTTTTCGTAAAAAATGGATCATTTTGACATCTATAAAAAGCATAATGGCATCGCGTGACACGACAATAATGACTGGCAATGTTGGAAAGCTGCATCGAGATCTTTTCTCGAGAAGCATTTTAGCGGCAATTCTGCCCTTTGAAAAGATATCATCGAAATTGCCGACGCGTTTATTGCCGTGCGGACAAAGGGATGATTGCACGCGACAAATGATCACGAGACATTGCAAGAGAAAACACGAGTTTCGGCGCTCACGCAACAGCATTTACACGAAATAGTTATTTTGTTTTCAGAAGCATGTCGATGTATTTGCGATAATAATGACAAACAATGGAAAAGCTTTCTTTTATTGTAAAATTATTCAAATATTTAATTCTAAATGCAAATATAAATCTATTGTAAAAATTACATTACAATAAGAGAATTTTAATGGATATTGTAGGCACAATAGAATAATCATAATACAGTATAACTATAAAGATAAATTAAAATTTATATTAAAAGTAATTTTAAATGAAAGTAATTTTAAAATTAATTTTAGATATAAATTATTTTTAGAAAAGTAATTCGAGTCGATTAATTCAACAAAAAATAATTTAAGTTAAAATTAATTTAGGATTTAATTTTATATATGAAAAAAATGATTCAAAAGATCAATTAATTCCAAAGAATAATCGCTCGAACTAATTTAGAGTCAATTTTGCTCTAAAAATAATGATAAATTAAACTAAAATTGCAACATATTATATAATCACAGATTTTTCTTTTATGTCGATACGAAAAATACTTATACATAAGATTTCTTATATCGAATGAATAATATTGGGATCAGCTTACCAAGCATTTTGATACCTTGGACTGGACTCAGAGGGTAGAAATCCCCGTGAAGTGGACAATGGAAGCCCACCCTGCGCTCCCTCCGCCTCGCCCGTCTCGTGAGCATGCAGAGTAGTACGCCAAGCGCGAGCATAAGGGCGCCCACAACTATGCAGATCGGCCCCAAGATACGAGAATTGCCGGTAAAGGCAATTCGTGCGGCGTACGAGTTCTTGTCTTCGTCTTCGCCGGGGCCACGATAAGAAGCAGCTGTAACGGAGAAATGGACGAATTGAAAATTACTCGTGGAAGTTAATTATAAGTAATGTTTATTAGATTGTCATCTTAATAGTTTCTCATATTTTTCACTCTTCAATCTCAGACAAAAGACATATTTTATTAAAAAAAATAAAATAAACTCTCACATCTACGTTAATAATCTATTAATTTAATATGATGTATATATATACATATATAAATAATACAATAAAGTATAATCTAATTTTGTTGTTCTAGAAATATTGAATATATGCTATTAAGAGGAGACAACTCTGAATTGTGAGAGTAATTAAACGACTTGTTCAAATATGATCTCATTGTGCTCGATTTTAGCGGAAAAGTTGAATTTGGATTTAAACCAAAACTTTATGTTCTCTTCGCGTGTTTCTGGTACAATATCATAAAACTGCTTTGCGCTTTTTTGAAGAACTATGATCGCGTTGATTGGAACTGGTCCGAGCTACCGACATTAACTACGACGCGAATGAGAAAACTTTTCTAACGAGAAGTTTTATAATACTTAAAAGAGGAACACTCTCTTTCTCTCTGTCTGTCTCTTTCTCTCTCTCTCTTTCTGTGTGTAGATTATAATAACGACTGTCTTATTCTCGTCAATTGCGAAGCGAGAATGTTGCGGAATGTTTGGAGAGAAAATGTGCGTCTGCAAAGTAGCGGAAATCATGAACATAAATATGTTCACCGCGGAGAACTTGCCTTCGAGCATATTTTTTAATCGATAACGTCGCGCTAGTGAAACGCTTCATAGGCGATTAGCATGCGCAGGTCCGACAAATTTCTCTTTGCATTTGTCTTATTTCGCAAAATAAGATAAACAACTAAAATTTAGTAACATGATTAAAATAAACAGACAAATAAAACGATGCAGCGTTAAACAGATCTCTATTTCTTCGTAACGTACTGCTATACCTATATCAAATTATTCTAGCTTTAAATTTTTATTTATAATACTTAAATTAAAATTTAATTTTCAATATTAATGAGATATTCAATTCCACTTTTTTATAATGAAAAATGTTGGAAATATTAAATATTTTAAATAATATAGCAATATTGATAAATTTCAAAAAATATTTTAAAAATATGAATACTATGCTCTGACACGTATAACATTTATCTTTTTTTTTTCAATATTTAGTATATTGCTATTGGTATAACAAAAGTTATTACTCTTTGAATGAACAAACACGTACGCATTGTGGACAAACGATTCCTGTACATAATTGGGAAGTATACGCATTTACGTGTAAGGTGACGAATTGTTTAACCTTAATTTGTTTATAACTTCTTTTAGGCAGATAGACAAAAATGACGGGTGGATAAACGATTTTTGTATATAATTCGGAAGAATATTTACATGAAATGCTACCATTTTTTTGTTTATAATTTTTTTATGGATAAATGTGGACAGTCGAGAGAGAGAATGCAATGTTGATTTTGTCAAAATTCGCATTTTGAAATACTAACTTTACAAATCTTTATTCTGAAACGTTTTAGTAACAACACAAGATCGTAACATTTCAAAACGTATAAATAAAAGTGATATGTAAAATAGAAAATCGAAAATTGTAAGAATATAAAAATATAAAACTTACTAATCCTAAATAAATTATAATTAAAAAAAATGTGATGAAAATGTAAATAGGAATCGGCTACATTTATAAAATTCAGAATCGTATATTCAATATAGTGTATCTATACTAGTTCCGTTCAGCCGGTAATAAAAACTGAAATCCTCGTTCCACTTGACTGTATCAAAGAGGGCTTGACTTGGCGTGATAAACGTAACAAAGACATTACGAGTAACCGGACAGAACGATCTAGACTGTTCAAGAGGAAGAGAAAAGAATAGAAACAACGAAAGGGAAATGGGCTATTGGACCGGTCTTGGCGCGGCAGGAAAAAAGGAAGATTAAAGAGGAGGACAGACCGGTTCTGATAAATCGGTTGGTAACAACTAACAACTCTCGGCACCTCGTATGTGAAGAAACGTGGCCGAGAAGTGACGGCGGGCGATGTGACGGCCAGCTGTTGCTTAGTGAACAGTCAGGGCCCTCTTCTACTTTTCTTATTCTTTTTCTTCCTCTTCTTCCTCGCGATAAGAAAGCTGTATCTATCTCCGGGGTCAGCGCCCCGACGAACGAACTACAGCGTTTCGCATATTAATTTAATGAGAAAGAATAAAAAAAAAACTAGTCTCTTATCTTCGGATAAATCTCGAAAGTTTTCCACGTATTAATATTAATAATAATTAATATTGAAATTTACTTTTCAAATTTCGTTATATCTAAAATCAATCGGTAAAAACTCACTCACCTCTGAATAATATTCTTCTCGAATGTTTTATTTAATAAGATTAATGTAATATAAAATTTAAATCTATTGATTAATATTAAAATATATTTGCGAAAGACATTCAAAATTGCTTCGCCGAGGAAGCTACTATTAATATTGACAGTGGTATTAATATTTACAAGCACAATAAAATTACTACAAATTCAGTTGCAATGTAATTCATTAGGCAACTTACGAGTAAATGCATTGCACGCTGCTCATCAAATTTCAGATATTTGCGCATAGCTTGTATGACTCTAATACTGCTTCAGCTGACTGAACATGGCTTCCTTCTCTATATAATTAATCCGCTTATAGAATATCAGTGGAGGTTTCAGTCCGATTAGTATATGTAACGACGAATACTGAGAGAGATATCTCTTCGTTACATCCACTGTCGACAACATGTTGATGGAGTATACGCATTTCATTGTTCAAAATATATCTCATATATAAATTCCACATATAAATTCTACTTATTCACTCGTTATTAGCATAAATGAATAAAAGATTGTTATAATTCTAAAACGGGGAGGTTTTTATTTTCGATTGTAAAATTATTTAATCTCAACAATATTTTAATAACTAATATAAAATTAGTCCAAAAAATGTTTTTTCATATGTAGGGTATTTATAACAATTTAAGAGTAGATTTCTCAGATCATTTTAAGACGAAAATCCTAATCACTCAAAAAAGTGATTTTGTAGCAAAAATGATCTAGATACAAAAAAAATAGCTAAAATAGATAAATTTCTATTGCAAATATTGCAATATTGGATATGTTTTGCATCTAATCATACAGATGATAGAGATAGGATTTAGATTTGTGCTATACATTCTATGCATATGATACATAATTTTCTATCAGATACAAAAATCAGCAATAACTCTAGCTGGAGCAGCAACATATTTTTTGCGTGATATCAAAATAACGATGAGGCTACAATAGTTTTGGAATTATAAGCGTTTGAAGTTAGTAAATAATATCGCCTAAACGTTTGAATGTTCAGATATAGTTGACATTTTGCGTCGTATAAGTATAGGTATAGGTACACCTGAACGCGCAAACTTCAAGCAGTATAATTCGCTAACTTTAAATACCTATAATTAAAAAAATATTACAGCCTCAACATTACAGTATTAGGATTTTCAAAATGATCTCAGTAATCTATTCTTAAATGTTGTTACGGTTTTTATGAGACACCATGTACAAGATACATAATCATAGATATAATTTAGCTAAAAAGATAAAGCTATAATTTCTGTACATACATAATGTTGAAAGATGAAAATAGATAATTAATAATTTTTATTAATTCTTTGTTTAGTCTGTGTGTGTCCGCGAATTGATATAAAAACAATTTCTTTATACAGATTTTATAAAACAAATAACAAATATGATTACTAATGCCATAAAAATCAAATCCATACGACATAGTTTCTCGATAAACGATAACAAACAATTGTGATATCTCATAACAAAGTAAACATTCATTCTCTTTTCTAAGCGACCTACATGCGATTATGGAGTCTTACTTTCTCCGAAATGGAAAGCTTGAGATTATTCTCATCCGTTAAATCACGCCGTGACGCATGCTCCATATCTCTGTAGATATACGATGCTTCGACAAATGTAAGATAAACTAAAAGTAAAAAGTTTGAAATAATAAATATAATTTATTTGGTTCCCCCCCCCCAAGCTAAAAATCTGAAAATGATAGATCGCTTGTGTGCTATACTGACTGATATTGCAAAAAATTATGTATTATCGAGATCATAAATTAAAATAAACTGAGATATTTCTACATCGATGATAATTATTCTGTACAGCCGAAGCAACATTAATCTCAGCCGTAACTGTCAGAATAGCGCCATTAGGAATTCTGCAGGTCAATCATGAGATGCAAATGCGAATGCAAATGACGTGTACGAGATAAAGGGAAAAAAAAGAAAAATTAAAAGATCGGTGAATATTCAAGAGTCGCCGATGTAACTATTGTCCGACACACTGTGTGTTTTTGCAATATCGTAATTTATACAAGCGCGCCTTTAATTGTAACAGTAAAATTATGCAATGCAGTTTAAAATCCCTGCAGAGAAAATACGACAAGAATATTTAGAAGAAAAATAAATAATATTTATATAACTTGTTTGTCATATTTGTTTCTGACATTTCCTGATGTCATTTGTGTTGCATTTTTAATCGTCCACATTTGATATCAAATTTTATTTATTTTATAAAATAAGTGCACCTCCAAATGTGAAATAAAAATTACATTCTCGCGTTGAATGTACATCGAAAATACGATTTATGATTTTAGACAAAACCTTGTAAAATTTCAAAAGACTTACAATGTGTTTTATCAAAAAGCATAACGATATTAGAGATACCGCTTTGATACAGAATACATTTTTAAAACAATAATGTTCGTGACAATATTCTAAAATCCTCTCAATAATATGAGGGATGTCAGTTTCAAAATAAGTCCAACCTTTTTACCTTTCTACGTTTGTAACGTAATGCATATTACTTTGATTAAACAATGCAGACGTAAATATAAGTAAACAAAAGAGAGATACAAACCAGTGAGTACGGCGCCGACGAGCATGAAGAGAGTGCCAAATGCCGGAAGGGCGATCTGGCAATTCGCCGCTATTACCACACCGGCCACCATCAGGCCACCCTCAATTTTTTCCACCCTCAATCGTGATATGGGAGTCGGGCATTTCAATTTCGCGCCCAGGCCACCACCCAGCATTCCCTCTTCGGCCATGCTGCCGGTCCTGCAACAACAAGCGAGACTAATTACGACAGCTGTAATAAAGGTTTCCCCTGGTAAAAATTGCGCGGATGAGTGATCACCTACTAAACGAGAGAAGGATGTTCTTCGTAAAATTTTAAGTAGAAACACATTCCTGCCAACTATATAATTAATAAAAGAGAAAAAAATTAATGATAACAATTAATATTATTCGTGACATAATTTTATTACGAATGATTTATATCATAATCGGATTTATCATGACATTTCGACGATAATAGAGGACGAAAAAAAAAAGAAATAAAAAATGGACTCCGCTGAGGTTTTGACATGAGACTTATCGCATTCAAAGTAAAAAAAGAAAATATCTTTAATCACACTGTCCCTCAATCAAATGTTAATCATTGTGCTATTACATCAAATTAAAAGAGTTATTTCTTTCTAAAAATTGATGTTCAATTTTTCTTAAAATTACGTCCAATCTCTTAATTTGTTAAGATGTGTTAAAAAATTTAAAAAAAAATTGGGCTCAGCCGGGATTTGAACCCGGGACCTCTCGCACCCAAAGCGAGAATCATACCCCTAGACCACTGAGCCATTCGCTTCTCATTTTGTAATAAACTCTTAAGTGTATACCGCAATTATTTATTTCTATTCATATAACAATTAAAATATGCCTAATATAAATACAATTATAATAAACAATTCTATTTATTAAAATCTACATAAGAGTATAATTGCAAAAATATAATTTTTTATTTAATGATTTTATAATGTTATACATTATAAATCCTTATATTTGAGAGACTATTACTTAAACATTTTTATCACTTAAATTTTCTAAACAAAAATGTGAAATAAACTCCATCTAAGATGTGACTTCAGATATGACATAAAGTGGATTTTATATGATAGATCTCGCGCTCTTTGAACACCTCACGCATCATTCTTCTCTCGACAATTAAACTTAGACATCATGTTAGTAGTCGTACTTCAAAACTGCATAAGAAAGAATAACTTCCTCGTAGACACGTCCGTTTTTAACTATGATAAACGATTAAGCCTGATCTACAATTGCATAAACGTATAAGTGACTGTAGTTGCAAAAATTCACCTATCACAGTCGGATGATGCTCTCTTCATTTTCATCTGTAATTCGTCAATTCTTGCAACTACAACCACACGTTTGCGCAATTGTAGATCGGGCTTTAGAGCGTAAAATTGCATGAAGGTTCGTTCCCGGCAAATTGTAGCGTTTACACGACGGAGTAATTGAATCAATCAGCCACTATCATGTACAGCTATTTACTAATTCGACGTGGAAGCCGAGACTCGATATTTCCATAGGGACGCGATAATTAACGTGAATATCCTTTGCGGATTGCTGGATCTGACAAATGGCACTGGTTCCGCCCAAGTGATGAAATGATCATTCTACGAGACCATTCTCGATCTCAATATTAATAATCTTAATTTATTGCCCCGATTTTTCCGTATTACACGATATATCAATTAAGTGAAACAATAGCCAAACACGAGAATACGAGAAATGATTTTCCTCTTCATTCAAATCCAATACGCCAGAAAAATGGCAGAGAAAATACAATCAACTGAGCGAGAAATTAAAGGCAGATGAATAGATGATAGAGGGAATTCGTTTCGAATATCGCGATAATACACGTGCGATTTTACGGTCGACAATGGTACAACATTGTCTTTATTATGCAACGGTAACAAATGTATATTTATGTTACATACGTGAAAGTGTTGTGTAGCCTGTATTGTATCTTGTAGTGTACTGTTAGGATTTGTAATTCTAACAGTATTTTCGATGAACATACATATATACTTTTGAAACAACACAGAATAATGTATTGTATATATAGATGATAGTTCGTCACTCTACAGTGATCTCTTGTAATAACAGTAAATGTTGAAGTGTGCCATTAGCAGAAAACAATAAAGGTAAATTTTAATGTTGCAACAACAATGACAATAATATAATGCATTTGACATATGACATTAAGATTCCATTTATACAAATATATTTTTTCGCACGTGCACTTTTTATCTATACGCGTACATTATTTTAAAACGTATATTCAATTAATGAACGAGAGTTCTCTTGAGATATAGGCTATTTATCTCTTTCTATTCTTTTAATTAAAATTTTTAATTGAAATTAAATTCCAAGTAATTTCCAGATCTTAATTTATCTTTGTGCAAACACACTTCTCTAAAATGGTTTTTTTTTATTGCTCTTTCATAATTTCATAAAATTATACACGTTAGCGTTAATCTGCGGAGAATTAACACCAATTAACCTGAATTATTTCACTTTCGAATTCACATAGAAGATTGTAGTAGCTATTCTGCTGCGAATTAACCATCGGACGATAAACTCAATCACTCACAATTGAATTCTCTTAAAAACCAGTCAAAAACAGCGCGACAGAATAGTCTCGATAATCCCCGGGAACCGACATCAATTCTATGATAAATTGTATAACGTCACACAAATCGTATCGATGTTGACACAACATATATTCTTTGACCGCTAAAAAATCACTGGCCAATCCAACGTTTGCCGGACTTTTTTTCCTCAAAGTGATAACAGCTAATGAGATGGCAAAATAACTTTTTTTTCGTTACGTATGACAGAGTATGTAAACAGCGTAAATTATATGTATATCAAGCGATGAAATAACTGTTTACTGTGCACGTTGTATTTATAAATTTACAACATAAAACAGTGTAAAAAAACGATGTAAAAATATCATAACACGAATAATTAATTCATTTGTTACTGTTTTACATTATTACTGTAATAACTCAAACAAATCGATTTCAATCATAATATAAAGTTTTATTAAATGCAAATAATTAATAGGATGCTGAATAATAATATAATATGTATACATAGTAAATATAGATATTAATTGCAGACGAAAGGTAAGATTACAGTTAAATGTTGATTTAATTCCGAATGTAGAAAAACAAACATCTTTAACAGAGTTAAGTAAAATCATAAGAATCCAGTTGTCGATAGAATACACATTTTATAAGCAAATTGGGATCAAATTTCATGTTCATAAAAATTCTTACTAACGACGTGAAATATTTTCCAGAAGAGCATATCTTTCGGTTTCGATTGCGTCTACTTTCCGAACAACATCACGGCTTATGTTGATAACTCCTACTCCGGACGATCAAAGTTTACGAGAACTACGCAAAAAAATGCGTGGCGCCACGTTATTATGTAAAATTCAAGTTTCATCTTTTGACGGTCGAAATTTTTTGCGTCTTTCGATTACGAATAAATAATATATGTATATATTGCATGAATAATTATATATTTTATCACCGAAGCAAATAGAAACTTCAAAATAAACTTTTATAGATTCTATAATAAATTATGCACACAATATATAATATTTTTCGCTATTATATAAAGTCGTTATAATAATTTTTATTTCATTTGCTTTTATTATTTTTATGTAACTTTAAAAAAATTATCTCAACAAAGTATTAATTTAGCTCTAATTGAATCGCGAAATAACAAATAACTGAACATAATTCTTATAACATTTATTATAAATTATATATTTTGTTTACCGAACCTATATATTTTTAATTCAAATATGTCAGAGAACATGCTAAACATTTAGTCACGCAATTGTTAGACCTTTCTAACCACGTAATTGTTAGATAGTCATAATTCTTAATTTTAATCAAGCTATGAAAATTCGGCAATGTATGTGAGTCATCTGAAGTTCTGAGTCATCCGAATAAAAATGACCGCTGGGAATTATCTTTATTGACTGCTGTGCATCTGATCCGTCCAATCCATCCTTAATTATAAAGGGGTTTGATGCTCTATCTCGCACGCAATACATACGATTACCGCGATGGATGGTTTTGCGTATCGTATAGCATAGGAAACGTGCAGCAATCAACATGACCTTATTCCAAAGATGTCAGCGAGATAACCCGTGTAACGAACGAATCTTGACTCGTCTCGCCCTCTGTCCTATTTATCTATCCGGATTTCAGGTCGTCGAAATCGGAGGGAAAAAGTAAAGAAGGAAGGGATAACAATTGAAGCAACAAAAACGAGTTTTGTGCCACTTATTTTCGCTTGACTGATTATAAATGGGTCCACCCACAATGCTTTGTAGCTTCATGCCACGTTCAAAATAATTGTAAAATCGATATTTGGAGGGTCAAAAATTAAATGTCCACTTTACAAAAGAGGGAACGTTAGAGTTATTATTAATAGCAACCTGTGTGTATGTGTACATAAGCGACGACTATTCCGAGATTCTATCATAATTATTTATAATAAAATAATAATAAAATAATTACTGACGCGTTTAGTTGACGTGCTACAAATTTTGTGTTGAAGTGTTCAAACTTCAAGAATATAAAAAAATATATTTCATCTAATTAGAGTTGTACTTATTTTTTATTTTTATAATTTTTATCATAAAATATAATCTGAATAGTTAGCGTGCCGTGATCAAATTGACAATTATAAGCTATTTTTTCTTTTTTTTAGAAGACACAGTCGACAAACATCATTTTATACTTTTTGGCATTCAATAAATAATAATGATAGAATGACATTTGTGTAAATTATGTCTCTTAAACAAAAAACAGCCATAATAATATCAAATGTGACAGTAATCAATTGTAAGCATCAAACACCAGAGACACGTAAAATAGGTGTGTAGCATAAATATAACCTTTACATAAACTATACAGTGCATTTTAATGATGACGAATCACAGACTCACTCATATTTTTGCGTGAGCAAAACTCAGCGTTATTTACGGAAGACAGTAACGACTTGTGTACACATTCGCATGCTTGCTTTATAACTTATCACACATACGAACATCTATGCCACTGTCATAAATTTCGTTCGTATATTCCGACGATGTCATTATTTCCTGAATTCCTCGTATAAAATTCAGAAAGCAAAAGATAAATATTCATTTCGACAAATTTTTAATAAACACA